GTAAAACACTTTGAGAAGCCACATTTTAATATATCAAAAAGTTTATTATTATAATATTTATTATATGTATGTGTGAGTGTGTGTGCATATGCGCTCATGTTGGTCAATGATAATTTCTGGGGTTCCTATGAGATGATGACTTGTAGGTGGTACTTGGAAGCTTTGGTTGGATTAGGGGTGGTACTTTGTCCAAAAAGTTTGAGAACCACTGTAGTAATCAGTTCTGGATGGCGCCAAAGGCATGAGCCAGTTCCTCCACATGGGCCATGAACAGGACAGAGCCCAGCCAGGTAATGTTTCAAAGGAGGAAGGAGGACGTTGGCTAATGGGTTCTGTACAAACATACTGAGGGTATGTACACTGTGCAAACAGGTTCAAAGGTCAAGCTAGGGTCAAAAGTGACTCCGATGTCAGTCCATTGGCTGATTCATTACTGGGATGAAAGAGCACAAATATTTGGAAAGATCAGTTCCTTGCAAGCCCTGATTAGTGCTGGATGCTCTTGAAGTAACAAGTTTAAAGAACTCACCCTGCTGCCATGTTTGAAGGCCTCATTAACCTGGCTTTATTAATCTCAAAATGCTTCAGAAACGCAACAAAAGACGGAAATAACATCACCCCCCCTCCACAAAACATTTTGTGCCGCAGAAATACTTAAACAACTTTCTTCACACCGTCACTCTTGCAATGGAATGAAAGGAACCACCAGATTTTACTGGAAAATAATCTTAATCATCTCCATCCATAAAAATGCCCTGTCATGACAGATGCCTGGAGCACACAGAAAGTCCATCACTTGTCACATGTGTAGATCTTATGTAAAACTTTAGCAACAATAGCAGTTATAAAGCAAAACAGACTTTAAAACAAACATGGACTGAAGACTTTATTCACTCCAGGTTCCTGATGAATGTACTGTGCATTTCACTATAACAACACGACATCATTTTCAGTTTTAGCGTCAATTTAGTTTTTAGAGTACAATTTGCTTATCCCTGCTGGAGGCGAATGCAAACATCATTCAAAATGTATGCTTTTAATCGATAAACAATATTTCAATATACCGTAACCAATTTCAATGCCTTTACATAGTATTCACACCCTTCCAATGATGTCCCATTGTGTTAAATTACAAACAATGTAAGCCACTGTTAAGCAGGTAATAACTAGTGGACATCTTATCAGTATCTCCATATTGGAATGTATGAATATATTAGAACATATTGGGATATATGAACTTTTATGATACTCAGAACTGAGTGTAAACATGTTTAGTCTGAAGTCATGGTCTTAATTAACCTTCATTGAATAAATATTAAGGCCAGTCAAATGGGCCTTTTCTAAAGTATCACAGATCTAGAAAATGTATAAGTCTTTGTTTTAAGGTATAAAAACAAATATGAGCTAAGGCAGACAAAAGCTAGAGCAAAACCATAGGCGGAGATGATTCCTTTAAACAAAGGCTATCTAACTGTCCTACACCTCCACTCTACGATGAATGTTTTTCCACATGTCTGAATGTTAAAAACAAACAAGTCAGGCAAAATAGTTAATTTTGCTAAAAAACAGTTCTGAGGGTGATGAGCAATGAGACAACACTGAAATCAGACTGGAGGTGGGGAGCAATCCTGTCTCGCGCCTCAGGAGTCTGGAAACTAAGGTCAGCTCAATGGAATGTCATTACACTAAACAAGAGGCACTGGGTGCTATGTTAAAAAATATTAAATATAATCAGGTTAGTAATCAGAATTACTAACAGGACTGATTTGTTGTTGTCTGGAATGGCTAGGTGAGATCACTTACTGGCAACTAAACAGGGTACAGCAAATGGGCTGAATAATCACCTCTCGTTTCTAACCTTTCTTCTGTTTTTATCTACTATACAGCACATTTTTTCTTTCAAAGCAAATACCAAGACTGTTTCTGAAAAACAGTCATTCAAATCCAAACATTCTAAATACAGAACATTATATTGCTATTTTTTTCACAAGTTTATTTACTCTTTCTGGATTTTACTCTTTTTGCAATTACTGTACTTCCAGAAAATCAGAAGCAGATATTTTCCGGAAGATAAATGGCATTCTTGAAAGAATTAATGTTGGCCACTTTATATGTATCTTACCTATATAGTTCACCTAAGGTTATGGCTACAATGCCCTCCAGATTTTATACCTCCAAGGAGACGGGAACAAAAAAATGTCTTAGAATGATTTATAGATTGGACTGTCATCCTGTATTCTGCACTACATATAATAAAATGTTATTTTTTCACAAAATAATGAAAAGTATTGAGTTGATTATATCATTTCTAAAGTATTTACTTAGCCTTACATAACAAAACGCAGTTGCAGCACTAAGTAAATAAATTATTGGTTTTGTAGTGATTCTAAACAGGAAACATGCAAAAAAAATGTTTTTATAAACAACTTCAATATTTTGTTTTTCAT